CAATTGCAATGACTTCTCACACCCTTGCTTGCCAAACAATCTACTCATACAGCATCACTTTGCTGCCCCAGCACGCCTCCCTTCCTGAAAGCAGTACACCCACTGTTGAGCTGCAAACACCTCACAGCCAGCACCCCCAACAGCAGTCCAACACATGCAGGCCCGTTCAGAGATGCCAAGGCATGTATTCAGCCGTACACAAGTGTACACATATTCAGCCGTACAAACCTACTCCGCCCATGCTACCACTCATATCTGTAGCTGTTTCCTTGTACAACTCAGCGCACTTACAGATACATGCCCATCTGTGCCTATATCTACACAACCTGCAACACCAGCAAATGAGCAAATGCCCAGCAATGACCAGTCCCCAGGTACACACCAGCTGCGAGCCCAACCGTTAACATGAATCTGCATGTCTAGAGGGCCCAATAAAGCATCATGCCATGGTGACCAAGACAAGCAAAGCCACCGACTAGATTTCTAAGCCTCTGACGTTCACAACCTTGTGCCCACATCCACAGCGGCCACCATACCAGCCATCACCAGCGGATGCAGCTGCCACAGCTGCAGTGGCGACACCATCACCGCCAACTGGGGGCAGCAGAGGAGATGCTCGAGATATGCGGCTTCGGAAGGATGACCATGCGCGGATTCAACCGTGGCAGATGGCTGCGCCTCGGAATTGAGATGCCCGTTGGGGACCTGCTCAAAGCAGACGGCGCAACATGGCCACCTCTGCCAGCAGTCGGAACGTTGCTGCTGCTGCTGCTGCTGGAGCTTCCAGGGCTGCTGGATTCGGAACCAGGAGCAAAGCCTACCAGGGGGATCTCGATGGCAAACTGATCGATCTCGATGGAGTCCTTAGCTGCCCCCTCAAACTGTTGCTTCCTGAACTGCTTAAACAGGTCGGGCGGCACTGCAAAGTACATTTCGCGCTTGAGCCCCTTCAGGTCCCTGGACAGTTTCCGCATGGAGGTTTGCAGCCCTGACGCGCTAATACGGTGATTGGCAGAGACAGTCACCTGGATAAGGAGCAGTCGCGCTGCCTTGCCGTTGCTGTCAGGCAAAATCAAAAAGCTGTCCACGGCAGTGAAGTTCCTCGCCACCGGCACCAGGAGCCCAGACCCTTTTGTTGTGGGGCTGATTTTTTTGAGGTCGCTGTCCTGCACCTCCATCAACTCCATTTCCGGCACCTCCAGGCTGACCTCCTGCTCTCCGGGGTTAGAAAGGCTGCGCATACGAAACGAGCCGCCCCGGCACAGCAAGTAATGTGCTAGCCCCTGGAACATTATGCCTCTAAGTGAGGCCAAATCTGGTCTGCCAGCGGACCACTTAACGAATTTGGCCAACTCAGCAGTACCCTGCCGATGCAACTCCTGCATCACACGCTGGCCGATTATCCCGGAGCCGAAGACTAGGCGTTTCCTGCTGCAGTTCTCATCCACCTGCATGTCATTGCAACAACCCACAACATGAGAAAGGCTTGTCAGATGGTGTGCAGAACCCCATGCCATTGCCTCACTCTGTGCGCATCCCTGCTTTAAAAATGGCACTGATTCCA